ATGCTCAACAACCGCTTTTAATAATAGAAAATAAGAACTATTCAAATCGCGGAACGTCCATTATTAATATGACTGCGGGAAAATGGAATGTCTTACGAGATTATCAAATTCGATTAAATCCGGGAGCGATTGTTACACGAGTTTCAAGTTGGAGAAGTGCTTCCAAACATGAAGTTAAACACGACTCCGGGATGTTTGCCTAACCGAAGATGTTGCGCAACTTTCCCACTTCAAACTAACCGGAAAAAAATGACGTGCCGACTGAAACGTCCTAATCGGTACATTAAATAAAGGTTTCCTTTCGTAATACACAATTCTTGACTTAAAAACTTTGCCGACTTTATTAATCATTCAAACGAAGTTATTCGAAAGTTTGCGGTTTGAAACTCTTCTGGTCGAAGAACTCGACTACAAATAAGATCCCAACCGTCTATTTTATCGCTTTATAACCCTTGTTCAACTTTACTCCGCTAATTAGCTGTACATTTCGCCAAATAATAAACACACTGATGGAGAATACAAGATTTGACTTTCGTACAAATATTTGGCGTCTTCTCATAGTCAATACGGTATGTTTTCTGCTACAACACTAAAAATTTTCATTTAAACAAACTGGAAACATTCACAGAAAATTATTCACAATGTTACGAATATTATCTTTTGTATACTGATTCGATGTGAAAAAGCACCCAACACGAAAAAACAAGTGATTTTTAAGTATAAACAGGTTGCGCTAACAGCCTTTACGAACGAACACAACCAACTGCTGCACTCTATTATAGAACAATTGCTCAAATAGTTAAAAATAAAAAGAAAAATCCTTTTTGTCACTTAAAACAGTATTTTTTAATAACACAACGGAAAAATATTCGAGAATTCGTAAAATCATAATATAAAATCAACTTCATAAATCTAGTTTTTTATTACTCCTATTATTTTTTCATTATATTTACATCAGATATCACTAATTAAAAAATAAAACTTATTATATTTTCCCGGCGCATCCACCATTTTTCTCACCAAAAACGACAAGTTTGAAATAATTTTCCAAACATACAAAAATTACGGAAAATGTTCTTCAAAAATACTGTCCTTTGAATCAAAGTCAAAAATTAAAAAACAAATTTAGTGATTTTTAACTTTAAACAGGTTGCACAAAGAACCTTTTATAAAGTGAACACAAACAACTGTTACATTTCGTAACAAAACTGTTGATTAAACATGGTAGAAAGTAACAACAAAAATGTTCAAGCATTCCGTGCTTGTAATTAAACCAGGTAAAAATTTTCAATTGTGAAGCTAGAATTACTCATTGGTATATTTTCAAAATAACAGTTTCAATTAAAAACTGATTTCTGCTTTTTGAATTTTTTTAATAATTTCCAGAGACTTACGTATCTTTTCACTGAGCCCCAATCCATCCTAATCCCCGTTTACCCAAAGTATTAGAATTCGTGAGTGATGGACGAGCTCGGTGACATCCGAGGGCACCAAGGCGAAAGTATTATAAGTAATGGACCGAGTTTTCGTCAGCATCTCTATATCTATTTTCTTATAATACATCTGTCAGCATGTCGGCAAGTTCGGCAACAATGACAAATGCACTTCCAAAGCTCCCAACTTTAATCACATCTGCAATTACTTTATTGTTCCCTCGAAGACAAAGAATCCATTATTAAGGCCCCTTTCGGTAAAAACCTCAAGTTGTTAACCCCACAACAGCGATTGCATTAATACTGGATAAAAGTCAACGCAGTTCGTGTGAATTTTTCACGAGGCGTTGAAAATTTCATCGGCCTGTGGCATCTCTTCAACAATGACAACCGAACCGGTCGATCAAGCATTAGTTTCGCGAAAAAACTCGAGACGCAGCACTTGGATTCGACCTCGACGACTTTTTTTACGTCGTAATTAACGGAAATGGGCTCTTAAGCGACGAAAAAAGAAGAAAAAATCGAAACAACTTGCAAACAACGAAAGCTTAAAACTGGCGCATTCTTTGATCCCTCCCATTGTAATTTGCCATGATTACATTTGAAATTTTCGAGAGCGGGACGCTTTGACATTAAATGTTATTATCGGAGTTTCGGTTCGATGGAGAGCTTTAGAGGTATGTACGCGATGCGGAGGCTCGTTGATCACACTTCATCAGAATGACGAACGCTTACATAAATAGCCTTAACTGCTAGGTAGAAAACGACGAAAAGAGATTCACATTTCCTGCAGCCAAGTCGAAATTATCAAATTTGGAATGCACCGTAGGTAATTAAATTTTGCAAACAAAGTGGAAATGACGTGTCTCTTGTTATTTTTGCTAACTTTAAGCAATTGGGCTGTAATAGAATGCAGCAGCTGCCTGTGTTCACTTCATAAAAAGTCCTTGTGCAACCTGATGTTTTTAACCTTTATTCATACACAATTTTCAATTGTAATTGCCATTTCTAGTCATTGTCAGCAAACCAAACTTGCAACAAAAAAAAAACTACTAGATATACTCGTAGATGTGTAATTAATAAAAAAATACTCAGCGGAAATGAGAGTCTGGAAGCTTTTTTCGTCAAAACACTTTATCTTCCAATTAGTTCTCGGGTCTCAAGGTTCGGTTACGTTCCGCTAACCGATAAGCGTCCCGTAGAATTAATACCTGCTCGTGCTACATTAAACAGCGAAATAATTGGGTGCTATGGCAAACGGCTTAATTAAATGAGGGAATTTCATGGTTGGACTAATTAAGAAGCAACTTTCCTGTGCTCGTAATGCGATTATGATTAGATCAAACAAAAAAAAATGACATAGATTCCCTCGAGAGTCGAAACTATATTCGCTAGTTATTTTAATTCACTCTGTGCGACTTTGTCTACGAGTGCAAAAATCATATAACACACCATAAATCACATATTCATGAATATACACGGCGCTAGTTTTTGCCGTGGGGAGTTATTTACGACGTTCTTGAATATTTTCCTGTTAACATTCCAGAAATACCGCATAAAAGTTGCGATTTTAAACGTTCACCCGGAAAATGCGAATAACAACGAACGTATGCGAGATATTTCCGGGAATTTTTGCACCGCACCTGTCACTGGAAAACAACAAACAACGAGAGTAAAGACTCTATTTTTCTATGATCAAGTTGGCCGTGGTGTACGTAAGAGAATTTAATACTTTATGTATTTCCTACATATGACAGAAAAATGTCGATTTTTTGGGCGTTTCGAGTATAGTTTTGTTCAGTGTGGTAGCACTACATTTTACAACTCAAGTTGTAAAGCAATTTTCCTCGTGTGCGTAATATATGTTAGAAACAACAGAGAGTGCAAAATAGGGGGCTTCTAGCCTCGAATCGTTCGTTTCATTTAACTGCGCGAAAATAAATTTCTTTCTTYCGGATCGTTCGTTTTCAATTTAGTACACCTGAATTGGAATTTTTAAAATATGAAAAACGTTTTTGTCGAAATAATTACAGTTTACTAGACGTGCAGCAAACATACGAAACTTTCTTTTTTTCGGCGCTTATTTACTCGGYTCACAAATATCGCTGAAACGAAAACAAAGCAAATGGAAAAATAAAGCGCCCGGGCCGTATTTACTGCATATAATTCAATATAAATTTATTTGACAACATGAAATATGAAACCAGAAAGAGATATATCACGTTGTCGGCCAAGAAAACCTTACGAACGTTTATATGAAATCTGKAAACGGCTGAAAAAAGTTACATCCCTCCAAATTACATCCATTATATTCAAATTATTTATCCCCGAGCAAAGAGATAATTAAAACTAGCCATGATAGACGACCCACATAACTAATTTCCAACATTTCGCCCTAATAAAGTATCGTCAGAGGCTCTTAATTACGCCGAGTTGCTTACACASTTAACTAGRTGGCGGTGCCGGATACACACTAGATTTTATTCACCGGTGCTGKATTTACGAGCAGCAGTAAATAAACCGCGCTGYAAATCGCAACCAAAATCATAACGAAACGAAAAACACAAGACCCTAAACTAGACAAACACAATACGATCGCATATAGTCGCTCCAAACATAATTACTACCATCAGTAATGTAATAACCAGTAATTAGAGATGTAATTACGCACAGTAAATTCACCAAACAACCGATAAATCTCCTCTAAACCATCTCCCTCCTAAATTTTTGCCTAATTTCGAGTGCCGAAACTAAAATTAAACGTATGCGAGACGAGCCCCCAAGGGATAGGTAATTTAACGTCAAATTTAAATTTAATTTTCTGCGAGTAATTATAACTTCTTTTAAAAAAAATCGCCTTAAAGTTATGCAACCAGCAATTTTGATTACGCAAGAGGTGGATTTGATTCTGCCGTCTCACGGTTCATTAACATATGAACTGACGTAATCAAGTCGAAATGGCGCCGAGACGCTACACAGATGTAAATTTCGTATGAGAGCAGGTGTGGAGTCAGCAAAAATCGCTAACAATGGCCGAATTCAACGTGCCACCATATTAATATCGGTATAGACGTGCCGGAAGGCGTCTGCAGAGAAGAAGGAGCAACGAAAGACGATAATGGCGATGAAATTAAGACGATTACACGAAATTACAGACGTTTTAATAACAACTCACGAAAATTTACGGAGGTAGGGGCGCCCAAATTTGATTTTTGAAGCGATAAGAGGCCAATCGGCTGCAACACACATCCAAAATTTATTTTTTTGCGAGATGAAACTCAGATTAAGTCGTTCGTTTTTCCCTATTAGAAACTTTTTTCTGTTCCTAATTTTAATTACTTTTAAAACAAACAATTAATTAAGGTGAACCTACACACCATATCGACCCGTAAATCCCCCATTCCTTACAATTCCCTCCCCGCGGAGCACTAATAGCAAGACAATTTAACCATCTAATTACTCGTCAAGACCTGCATGAATTGCTAAGTCCCTCGCGCGTCGTCTTAGCGCTAATGTTCTCCGCTAACACCTCAGGTAATCCGCCCTCTAAACCCCCAAAAAACTCACCGGAGTTGGGTTGACTATCGCTGTTGGGTCTTGCAGACGGAGCGCCATCTCTCGCTTCCACCTCCAAAGCGTAGGCCCCTTGCTTCTCCCTGTCGAAAACGATCTTGGTGAATACTTCCCCCGTCTCCTTGTTGATCTCAAAAAAGTCCTTGCCCTCGTTTCGAGGCGAATCCACGATGTAGTAGTACACCTGAGAATGGCAACGTTTCACTTTAATGTTTTTTAAAAGAACGAGATGAAAGAGATGGAGGCGGATTCACTTTTCTCTTGCTTTATCAAAGATATCGGAAATATGGCCACAATTTGAAAGCAAACAACGAAGAGGAAATGATTGGCTCGCAACTATCGAGTTGCTATGGAAATGGGCAGAAAAAGATTTGCTCTTGAGTTGCTTTGAGTCTTTGAAAGGGAAATGTAACACCGAATTATTTTCCCGAATGGCATCTTCAAACATGATTTTATACCTTTTAAGCTTGTTTTTATGCATATACGCCTACTCATAATAAAACACGAAAAAAAAAATTTAGTCAACCCGTATTAACCAAAGTAACATCAAAATATTGCAAATAGATGGACAATTCAGTCAAACAAATTTTCTTAGAGTTCAATTAACAAAAACAACAATTCTACAACAATTCTAACCCTTGCTTACAAAACTGAACTTGAGTGAAAAAGCCAGTAAGATTCAACGATCCAGCAGTTTAACTTTCATTATCTTAATTGCTGAATTGAGAAATTGAGTTTTTAAAATTACTGGTAATTTTAAATGTCTGGCCTAGCAAGGATAAATGTGTCAACATTTATCCTTGTTACATAATTATGTAGAGCTTTTTTGTCACAATAACAAACTCGGTTACACAATAACCTCAGAAAATTGGAACATTAATATCACTTTTTGTGGGTTTAAAATAGACTTTTTAAAGTTCTAGATAGTAACATCACTTTATAATAGCAATGATATTATCCTATAATGCTTTAAATCCGTCTCTGGGTCATAATTGAGGCATCAAAATTTATCCGTTTCTCGATCTTTCTTGAGCGTTTCCCCGCTTTCGCCTCCTTTCAAACGTTAAAATGATGAATCCTTTGATTCCTGCTCGCCTTCAGCTTTATCTCCTAATCACCATTTACCTGATTATTCGGGAAAGTCCCATCCTTGTCGATAGCATTAACTTGTGTGACTTTAGTCCCGATGGGTTCTCCTTCGAGGACCGTCTCTTGTTCCCTTTCCGTGAAAAGGGGGATCTCGTCGTTAACATCTTCGAGCTGGATGTAGACAGTTGCTTCACTGGCCAACTGTTGAGCCCCATTATTCTACAAATAATCAAATTAATGTAATTGGAGGGTATAAATAGTGGTGCCAAGGGCGAACCTCCACACGTATTGTTAAATTGTACTCCTTTATGGTCTCGTAGTCCAACGGATGGTTCACTTTGATATCAGCCCAAGTGAAACCGTTGTCGGGTCTTTGCTGGAGGTAGAAAGTGTGGTATTTGTTGGTTTGGGCTGTCGAGCCGGGCATCAAACGGTAGAAAACCGTCGGATTGTTCTCTATACCGGAACTAACAGGAAGAAAAAGCATTTGAAAAGCCTTGTCGTCCAAGTCTAGACGACCTAACGCTAGAAAAACTCTATCACGTGATCACGATCAAAAAGCAAAGTCAAAAAACAAAATTTGGCCGGACAAAAATTCTTCAGCCGCATGCAAAACGCGACTTGGACTACTTTCAATTTTTTTTTTGTTTAAAAATCAAACGATTAGAGTATTAAAAATAGTGTGTAATATTTTCAGATCAAAAAGTAGTCCAAAAACCAAAATAATCGTTAGGTTTAATGCACATGCTGCCACTTATTTTATGTCTCATCAAAATCAATTTAGTTCAAAATTTTTCCGAAAATAATTAAAAAAACAAAAATTTTCTACAAAAACGTCTACTTTCGTTCATGCACTGAAAAACTTCTGAACTGTTAGCGGCAGTGCCAGTGCCGAACTCCTGAAAAATGGCGTGATTTTAGTAATTATGATGATGAGTTAACGTGTCACGCACTGCCAATTCAAATCTAGATATCAGACCTGCTACTGTGTTGAAATCACCCGCAGGAGCATCGTGATACGTCTTAATCGCATTTAAGTCAAAAAAAATCTGGTGAGAAATGAGGAAACGGCTGAATGTTGTTAAGATGTTGCATTTACCCCGAGCCCCAAGCTTGTGCGTGTGGTGCAGGCATCAACAACATTCACCGGTCGACGGGAACGAAACAGAGGACTACACACCCAGAGCTACGGAAGGATGGAGGATGAGGAAGCGCCCAATGTTAATATGCACCAACAACCAGACCGAAATTTGATTCCAATCGCCCCCTCAAAATATACAAACTTTTATTACAAAAAAACAATGTTTTAAAAGCTTACATTATGAAACTACTCAATTTTTTTCAATTCATTTATAAGAACACAAAGTGGATTTAATGTTTTCAAAAAGGGTAAAGATATGCTGAGGAATAGCGTTTTTACCATGCAACCCATTTCTAAAGCGGTCTAGGTTGTAAAAGCATATAAATTGATACTGAATTTAACACCAACTATTATTATTATTTCTGCATTGTTTATGTTTAAAAGTAAAATTTGTGAAATCCTAGTCAAGGATTTTTTAATTTTTTCACTTATTTTAGAAACTCCAATATTGCACCAGAAATGGAGCCTTATTTGTGTATTCTTGATTCTTCTAGTCTCAAATTAAAAACAAAACAAACAATTAGAACAAAAAATAAAATAATGTTAAACCGCCAATTATAACCAAAATTTTTCTCTTAACAGGTTTGGTTTCACTTCACTTAAACTTTATTTATAATAAATAACATAATTTTGTTTTATATCTCTCATACGATTCCTATGAAGACTAAAACAAACAAAACTCTACGTTCTTTACTTTATTTATAAAAAAATATACAGTCTGGAAAGTCGCGCACCTCACCGTGACATTGTATCATCGGGCGGTGCCCTAGACAGAAAAGAAGAAAAATGTTAAACAAAACCTATCTATAAAAATTTCGAAGTTATGACAGTTTAAATTTTGAACTTTGACTCTATTTAGTTCTGTTGGAAAAATAATTTTCCAAATTTTTTGCTACAGGCTACTAGAAAAAGAAACAAAGAAACTGTATCCTAAATTGCAACTTTGTTTGGTGTTATTTGTGGCTTTTCTTGGCAAAATTTTTATACCTTTACTAAGTAATTATAAAAATACATATACAAGATCATCAGTATAATTAAATAGACATAAAAAATGTCAAATGTTCAAAAATAAATGTCAATTTTGCTGAAGAATAGAATAGAAATTGTACATAATACGCGAGATCTACTCAAATGAATTTTATGAACTAAATATTTTTGCAACTGATTAAAAAAAAATGTTTCTAGTAGTTGCAGTTTTGGCAGTTTTTGTGATAGTTTAGAATAGAAATCATGCTATTGGATCCCTGTATTGAGGATGGGCATGTAGTATAAAATTTCGGTGTGTTTGGTGTGGTTCTTTGGGGCGCGGTGTGGATGAGCGCGTGCTGGCTCTCCAGGTGAAGCGTGCACAAACAGACGAGATGGTGCCGTGCAGCTCGTGCTGCTGCACGGTCGTCACATCGACTGGGTGAATCAGGGTCACCGACCTGGCCTTGACGGACACAACCTTAGCCCCCACCGGGAGATTCTCCCGGATGAAGATCGGTCCGTAAATCACGTGATCCCACACGGGCGGGTTGTTCGCGCGATCCACCACGTCTATCTGGACCTCCACGGATCGGGAGAGGGGAGGGTAGCCTTTGTCTTGGGCGGTGGCCTCCAGCTTGTACGTCTCGCGCTGGGCCGCCGGGAACATCACACCGAGTTAGTGGGGCCCAGAGGAGGTGTGAGAGAGTCAAATCCAGGCGCCGCGGGCCCCCGCCATGC